GTAAAGTTTTTCACAGAGGTGTTTAGAGCATTCTAAAAGAACAAAACAATGATTAAAACCACACATCAAGTCTCAATATACAGAAAAAAAAAAATTAAAACTTACAATTCAAGTCCAAATACATGTAAAAGGTTTTGTTTAGCTATACTACATTTGTTAACTTAATCACTTAAATACATGTTAAATTGTTTATATTTTTTCTGGAAGTTAAGAAAAACTTAAGATATTTAAGATTAAATGGTGGCTATAGGCTTTTTTCCTTAAAATAAGGAATTCTTATTCAATTGACACAGAAAAAAGTGATCAATATTCATGTATTATTTTTATTATTGGAATTTGAAGTAAAAGTAATGGTTTAGAGGAAAAACCATATTGTAACAATTGTATTGTTTGCTAGGCGTGATACATTCAACCACCTGACAACCTGGCTCGAGGACGCTCGTCAACATTCCAACTCCAATATGGTCATCATGTTAATTGGTAACAAAAGGTCGGTGTTTGGTAAAAAAAAATTAAATAAACAAATGTTGAGTTGAAAATTGAGTACCATAAATCAAATTACAATGTTTTAAAAGTCTTCAAGGAAGTTAACATGACACAGTCATTTGAATAGATAAAGGGAAAAGCTTATTTAGAGAATGAAAATATTCCTGATCATTATTTTATAAGTATATTTGCCTAGTCATAAATTACAATTTTTTTTTCTATATGAATCAGTGACTTGGAGGCCAGAAGAGATGTAAAGAAAGAAGAAGGTGAAGCGTTTGCCAGAGAACACGGCCTTATCTTCATGGAGACTTCCGCTAAAACAGCAGCAAATGTAGAAGAGGTCAGTAGGATATTTTTCTCCAGGATAACTAACAAATATGCTTGTACCTATAAACCAATTCCATCAATTTTTAGGGGGCTTTCTTTTATTATGCCCCCCTTCGAAGAAGGGCGGGCATATTGCTTTGCTGCTGTCTGTTGGTCGGTCTGTCGGTCCACTTAGTTTCCGTTCATTTTCTTCGCAACCGTTGTACATACTGAAATGAAATGTTGTATACAGATATATCACATTAATATCTAGGCCAAATTCTGTTTTGGGTCCCATCGCACCATTTTTGACAGAGTTATGCCCCTTGGACTTAGAAAAATTTCAATTACTTGCAGTTTCCATTCATTTTCTTCGCAACCGTTGTACATACTGAAATGAAATTTGGTATACAGATATATCACATGAATATCTAGGCCAACATCTGTTTTGGTTACGAACGCACCATTTTTGACAGAGTTATGCCCCTTGGACTTAGAAAATTTTCAATTATTTGCAGTTTCCGCTCATTTTCTTTGCAACAGTTGCACATACTGAAATGAAATTTGATATACAGATAAATCACATTAATATTTAGATCAGATTCTGTTTTGGATATGATCGCACCATTTTTGACAGAGTTATGCCCCTTGGACTTAGAAAAAAATTCCAATTATTTGCAGTTTCCTTTCATTTTCTTTGCAGAGGTTGCACATACTGAAATGAAATTTGGTATACAGATTTTTCAGATGATTATCTAGGTCAAGTTCTGTTTTGGGTACAATCGCACCATTTTTGACAGAGTTATGCCCTTTTTGACTTGGAAAAATTCCAATTATGGGGGAGGGGGGCATAAGTATTCTACAAACATCTCTTGTTTTACTGTGAAGTATATGCTGCTCATTTCTGACTTCGTTTATTTTATTATTTATTGCAGGCTTTTATAAATACAGCCAAAGAAATTTATCAAAAGATTCAAGATGGTGTGTTTGATATAAATAATGAGGTATGTATAAAAATTTCGTTTTTGGGGTATCTTTTTATTAAGAGTATGATTTTGGTTTATGCATGACACTGACATAAATGTTTTGTATGATACTTGTCATAGATTCACAGATTATAAATATGTGTACATTTTGGATTAACATTTATAGTACAAGTCACAACTGAATGAGAAAAAAAGAATACAAACAACTCAGTGCACATTGATAATTATCCAGCTGATGTATAATTTTTGCTAATCATGAATTGATAATAACAATTTCAGTTTCTGCATACAATATTTCAAACTTTATGATAATAAACAATTTCATTGTAACCTTTCATTAATTTAGTGCATTTTTTAGGTCACCTGAGTAAACTCAGGTGACCTATTGCTATCCGTTTTCGTCTGTCGTCGTTCGTCGTGCGTTAACATTTGAACATTTTCAGCTTCTTCTCTGCAACCACTGAACCAATTTCAACCAAATTTGGCACAAAGCATCTATGGGTGAAGGGGAACAAAAATTGTGAATTTCATGATCCCTGCCCCCCTGGGGCCTGAGGGGTGGGGCCAAAACCACTAAAATTAATGCAATCTTTAAAAATCTTCTTCTTTACTCCTGGACATCAAGCAATCAAACTGTTTGCATGATTGTAATCAGCAATGAGTCCTCTACCAAAATTGTGAAATTCATGGCACTGGGGTCAGGGGTTCTAGTGCTAGGGCGGGGCTAAAATAAGTAGGTAGTGAAAATGCATTATTTCTTTGAAAATCTTCTTCTCTGCTCCTGGGTATTAAATAAACCAACAAAGTACATAGTTATGATGAGCAAGAGTGCCTCTACCTAAATTGTGAATTTTATGGCCCCAGGGTCAGGGGTTCTGGTGTTAGGGCGGGGCTCTATTAATTATATAGTGAAAATACATTATTTCTTTGAAAATCTTCTTCTCTGCTCCTGGGTATTAAATAAACTATCTAAGTACATAGTTATGATGAGCAAGAGTGCCTCTACCAAAATTGTGAATTTTATGGCCCCAGGGTCAGGGGTTCTTGTTTTAGGGTGGGGCTCTAATGATTATATAGTGAATTGCATGAATTCTTTGAACATCTTATCCTTTGCTCCTGGTTAATATGCTAATGATCTAATTACATATTTAAGGCCAGGATTTATTTTATTTTCAGTTGTACAAAGCCTCCGCTCAAGGTTTTGAATTTTCAGAAAAAAATAAAACAATTTTTTTCTTTCCGATGTCAAATATGAGTCGGGATCGAGATTTCAAATTTACGAACTCGCACTTCCGGTTTTAAGATGAAGCGGCGGGTAAATAAAGCTAGCTTGGTTTAGTGTAAAATTCATCGATACGAGTGCCATTCAAAACGTTTCACCCGTTCAAAGGACAAATAAAATGCTGACGACTTTGTTGCACAATGACATGCTGGTGAGATACCGTATAAGTGTAAATTTTACCGAGATGCAAATTTAGCGATTCGCTCTTAAGGATTTATTTTCATTTTTAGCAAGATGTTATTTTAGCGATTTTAAAATGCCACATTAAAGAAGCTATTACAAATACAATGCAATTTATTTTTAGCGATATTTAATTTTAGCGATCTCAGCACCTCGCTAATAATGCCAAAATTAAATCCTCGCTAAAAATTCTACTTATACGGTAATTATGTATTCGTTTCAAAAGTTTCTGTCTGTAAATTATTTTCCTCCCCCAGGTTTTAAACTGCCCGTGGTAGCTATTGCATATTGCCAGCGACATTGTTTAGGTCTCTGTTATAGCTTACAGTCTAAGCATCATTCTTCAGATAAGGGTTGCTTATGCATCAGATGTAATGAATAAAACTATGGGAGAAGTTAAGTTCATTTGAGGTCAGAAGAAATGAACAATAACCTGAAGAAATAAAAAAAAAATTCAACTATTAAAAGGCAAGAATATACAAATATATACAGGCATGTAGTATCATTTGTATCAGCCAGAGAAATTATTTTACACTTAATTGAAAAAATGTTCACCGTACTCCCCAATACTCCCTGTCTGTTTTATGATAGGAATTATAATTTTAGGCATCAAGTAAATTTTAGAACAATGTCTACACCTTCACCTAACACATATTAAAAAAATGAAGATATATTGAAAGACTTTTAAAGAATTGATTTTTTAAAATATATTTTGGCCAACATCACAATATATAACTGGCCTAAACTGGCAGATGATGAAATAAGCAATTTTTAAAAATGTTCTACTTTACTATTTGTAAGCATTATGTGTTCAGTGGTAAGGAGCCTATTAGGATAGCATAAAAAAAGAATGTACAATTGATTTATCAAAAATTTTTTTTTTTTTATTTCCTTTTCCTTCGGGACTTTTTTATTCTCATGTTCATAACTAAACCTAAACATAAAAAAAAAATGCTGGCCTTATAATGAAGAGAGGGTCTCTTTCAAAATAGATAAATTAAGGGGCCACTGGGTCAGGGGTACCATGGGGGTACTTTGACTAAAAATAAATTAATGCTTTGAAATCTGCCCTTTGATAAGCAATGGTGCCTCTTTCAAAATTTGTGATTTTCATGGCTTTTGGATTAAAACACGAACAAAATACGATCGCTGGAAAGTTGTTACATGATACTCAGGTGACCTATAAGGCCCGTGGGCCTCTTGTTTATTTTAACTTTTGGTAAGAGACAGGTCAAACTCTGAAATGAGCAACAGATTTAAAACAATTTTGACAAAAGTCAAAAAACTTTGCAATAAAAATGAAACTTATTCAAAGTCAAAATTTTTACAGCCTACTCTGGATATATTGAAATGCAGGGGACCATGCAAATTATTTCAATATATCCGTAATCCAATATAAGCGAAATCGTGAAGCCGCCACTTTTTATTAAAAGTTCAATCCCAATCTAAAATGAACAACAAACCCGAACAATTAATTCTGTTTACCTATAACAGTGAACAGATTACATGGAATATTAGTCCTTGAAAGTTTGAATAAAATTGTTTCTTTCTGTTGAATTAAAAAGACAATTTCCAATAAATTATTCCCCAATCACATTTATTTACGTTTTGGAGAAAAGTCAGGGATCTCAAACGTATGAGTACTGTTGAACCGGCGCTGCATGTATTTCATCATAATGAACTCAGGTTAATCCCTTGGATATTTCAAATTTAGTCTTATCAATAGCCATTAACAGACTGAATTGAAATTCAAAGTTAAGGATTTTTTCTAGATCTGTGGGGGTTACTATATTGCGTTTGCCTCAATGCTTCCGTATTATATACGTGGAAACAAAGAATTTAACAGTGAATAATTTTATTTCGTAAGAGCATGCAGCATAAAAACACATAAAGTGAAGACTTATTATTCACACCTTTGTTTATCAGTCGGTCAGACAGGCATAATTACTGTCACAAACCGTAAGACAGCTGCCAGGGAGTACTTCAATATAACCATTATGAAAACAACTCATTATCACCTCTTGGGACCAAGCAGTGGCTTCAATATAAGCGATATTTCAATATATAAACCGATTTCAGTATAACCGTTAATTTTAATGCAAAGAATATGAGAGTCAAAAAACTGTGGACTTATTTTTATTTCAAAATAAAGCGGAATTTCAAATAACCAAGTTCAATATAAGTGGAGTAAGCTGTATCAATATGATAAGTACTTGAATATGAATGACAGATTTCCAGAACTTGAAAAGATATTTCACATGTAAATTTTAAAGTCTATGCTAAAAAAATTACAAAAGGTTTGCTTATTCTGTGCATTCTGTTATTTCTACATACATGTTACGTTGACAGACTAACATCAGGTTAGACAGCTGACTCTCTAGGTTATTCTTGAGGCAATCCTGAGTATCATTATCTGTGCTAACATAAAGAACTGTTATACATGTAGCCTCAAACACATAAATGAATGCATGAGAAATTATCTGAAGATGAAACATAAAATTTAAATAGTCGATTTTCGATTTTCATGAATAATGTAGTGATTGCCTAAAAAATTGTGTGTTAATTTTGTGTGTGTTCAGATTCATATATGCACCAAAAGCTGTGCAGCAATTTTTTGGTTCTAAAAAATTTGCACTGAATTTTACAGAGGGTTCACAATTTACACATAAAACTTTTGACATTAAGTCTTTCATAGCGATGTAGTGAATTTCATTTAAAATTTTTTTTATCTTTAGGACTTTCATACCATGAGATTGTTATTCTCTCACACTGCTTTACAATGCATGTATATCAGTAGTGTGTAGTTTATGAATCAGAGAGAGATACTAAATTTAATCAGCATTTTCTGATTATTTTAGGCTAATGGTATAAAGATTGGACCTCAGCATTCCCCCAGCCCTAGCTTGCCCTCCTCGTCAGGTGGTGGATCACAAGGGAGCGGATGTTGTTAAAACAAGGAAATCCCTCCTAGTGGGAAGGGGAGGCAACCAAGGAAACTCAAATTCTGTTGGCATTTGGGAATATTCTGATCACATTTTAACACAGTAGAAAAATATTTACAGGAAAAGTTATTATGGTTTTTTTTTGTTTGTTTGAAATCCAAGTTTTTGATATTATTTTTATCTAATGGATAAAAAAAAAATATACTGCTGTTAAAGAAACATAATATCAATTTATTTAAAATATACATGTATATAACATTTGACTTAGCATCTTCTCCAATATTTCTCTTTTTTATGGTTATGTTTTTACTTAACATTTGATTCTTTGTACCTACATGTATGATAAATTTATTTCATTTCCATAGGTATTGAGAAAAATATTATTCTATCATGACCTAACATTTAAAGTGTTACAATATTCCTTTTCAATATAAAATTTCAGAAACCAAGTAGGGTAGAATTAAATATGAGTATGGTAGAATGGTGTATGTGTTTAATTTCACCTGTCAGAAAAGGTGAATTGAGTGTGGTTAATGTGTGTTAAAGATGTTTTATTTATGGTTGTAAAATGTGGTTTTTGTACATAGATTTTATTTCATAGTCATCTATATATGTGTTTATCTCTTTTTATACGCCCGTCTTAAGACGGGACGTATTATGTTATAGGCTTCGTGTCCGTCCGTCCGTCTGTCCGTCCGTCCGTCTGTCCATTCGTGTCCGGCTCATAACTTCAATACTATTAGGCCTAGGATTATCAAACTTTGTCAACTGATACTTCTTGGGTAGACGGTGTGTCGCGCACCAAAATTAGGTCGCTCTGACCTTTAATAAAGATGCTATGGCCAAATATGGAAAAATCCTGTCCGGCTCATAACTAGAAAACTATTAGACCTAGAGCTATCAAACTTGGCAAAAGTATACATCTTAGGTAGAAGGTGTGTCGCGACCTATTTCAAGGTCACTGTGACCTTTAATTTTAGTGAAATTTTTTAAAAATTTAAGTTTTTTAAATTTTAAATTTTGTAATCCTAAAAATGTAAAAAATAGAGTTGTATCCTTATTAAAAAGTATTAAATCAAGTAAAAACTTATTTTTTCATCATATACTTTACAGCAACCTTAAACAAATTTCAGTGTTAATGAGAGGAATTCAGTTTGTCCCATGGGCATAATTATCAAGCACTGGTCAGGAAGAATTTTGATAGCAGAAAGTTGCATGTCAAATTAGAGAGAAATTAATGAGTTTAGTGTGAGGAGGTTTGGTGTTATCCCTTGGGTATTGGGCAAATGGACAGCCAGCCTAGCTGTTAGATTAAAAAT